GAACCTTTTAATAATATTATAAAGTTCTCATCGACCTCTTTGGCATCTATATTACCCCCATAGATAGGCCCGAGGTTCTGGCAATCAAGGATTGAGTCGCTGGTTCACTCCTCCAATCAGGTAGTCAAGCCTGAAAGCCAATCCCTAGATTGAGTCGACTCTAATTATATCTTTAGTCATGTGACTTCTGTTTTAACTGCAATTACTTTTCTTCAAACTAGTGAGGGATCGTACGTTGCATCTCTGCTATAACTTAATAATTTAATTTTGTAAAATTTATTATGTTTTTTGGAGCAAAGAAATTGGTAAGAAGAATTTGTCATATTAGTAGTTAGAAAAACTATAATAAATGCAATATTTTCAGGATTAGATTGTATATATTTATTTATGTTATTTGCATTATTTTAATAAAATGAGCATGCTTATGGTACAAATATAGGTTAAAAATATGAAAAATGAAAATGAACATATAGTTAAAAATTTCTTCACAACTAGATATGCATAGCTAACAATTTTAAAGAATCAAAGAAAGTACCATATTGACAAACTTTTTAACAGATGGTGAAAATTTGCTACGAAGAAATAGAAGCATTTGTCATCAATACATAGCCACAATTAGATGCTCAACAAACTAACTTCTAGTTTCTTTAACCCACTTCAAAACCTCCAAGTTGAATGTTTAAGAATTATCAGCAGCATCACAATTAACCTGCAAGTGCACCACTGTTTATGTGAGACCACTTGAAAGTAAATACCATAGCAATAGTTAGTCATGCATTAAAAATCAAATATCAACATTTCACTCAAAAACAGATTGCTAGATAATAAATCAAAAGTATTTGGTTGTACTTTAGATTTCAACGTTTCCCTAAACTAAGAAGTGTGAAATTAATATCCAACATTTTGAATACCATTATTTATTTAGAAAAGGTATTCCATGTCTCAAGAATCGAACCTTCACACTGCAGCTGCCAACAAAACGTGAGACAACCTCACTCCCATCTTTTACACCAATGAGCTATGCCTTGGGGATATATTGGATGATTAGGTTGTTTACTATACTTAGAATATTTTCTCTATTAGCAAAATGTAATGTCATTAATTAAATAAGTTACATTTTGATGTGACTGAAGCCTACTAAGAATTATATGCCCTAATGGTTAATATATTAAAAATTAATTAAGTCCAAACTACAAAAGTGCTTTATAATAAAGTAAGATCCTACTCCTGTCTAATCAAGCTTCTAAACAAATTTCAATGGCTAATGAAAAATAAAGAAGAAACTTTGGACATTATGCTTGTAATAATACTTTTTATTATGTTGTTATTTAATTAACTACGTCTTTATCAAATAGATACTCATTATGAACAATTATTTTGATGGAAAATAAAGTACCATTGTTAATAAGAAAAGATGAACCAAATTAGTTGAGAGAAAAACGAGTAATATATATAAAACTCAACTTTCATTATGTATTTATTTGGGACCATATGTGTCCTGTATATGCCCTTAGTATAAAATCTATTTTTTTCTAAAAGAAAAGACAAAAAGAAATCTCCTCTATCGAGAAAAAAGAACAACCAATCTTGTGGCCTATTTGTTAGAGCTTTTAAAAAGTCAAAAAACGAAGAAATTGTATTTGGACTTGTATGAATAATTTTTAAAAAAGTATTTTTTCTTATTAGAAGATTTTTTAACGAAAGTTAATCCATAGTAGCTTCCTTGAAAGCAAAAGTAAAAGTCTTGTCAAATGGATCCATAATCTTGTATTTTGTGTAAATTCATCGTTTTATTTTATTTTATTTAAATTGCATACTTTAAGACTATATATTATCTCAGTTAGTTAACTTATGTATGAACTTTTCTATTGATTTTCCTTTCTTTAATGGGATTCTACGAGTTTCAGATATTTAAAAATTATGGAATAAAGGATTGAATATAAGATGAGTGTTTTATTTTAACTTAACTCATTTAACAAGTTTATGAAGGTCACTTATTATTTTCAATAGTGTGGTTGAATATATATGAAAAAATAAAAATAGAAAAAGAAGAAGAAGAAAGAAAGAAAACGCATCATAGAACGATATATAAAACAATTTGATTCTCGACTTAGTTTCACGAGTAGACATTTCTAGAGTAGTCACCTATCCATTTCTCCTACGTCCTTTATCACATTGCTTGAAGCATCATTTTCATATAGGTAAACATGTGCAGTTAAAGCTTCATAGTGAAGTTATTCACTTTTTCCTTTTTGTATTTAACGACTGTGGTTACACTTACTTTCATTTCTTTATTTAATATATTAACGATAATTAAATTCTCAAAGCTTCTTTAAATACTTACCTAACTATTTTTTTGGGAATGTCCCCCACTCAAAGGTTAGTTTAATAAGAAGGATTGTTTAGCATTAACTAGTGAAATAAAATCAAACAATATAGAGCAAATAATTACAAATAAAATTTTCAATCATTAATGGTATTACCATCATTGAAAGTCATTTCGATGGATATATAATTATTTATCATAGATCTCAAAAAGAATTATTAACATTAATATGATCATTTATTATCGACGTGTCTCGTCGACAATTGCTGACAATAACGTTGTTGATCACATTGTCGATGACATCGTTAATAATCATTAATGGTGTTTCGAATCCCCCTTCTTGAAAGCCTAGTAGCGAGTTAATTTGCCAATTTAAACTGTTAGCATAAGAATTTACATGCCTTTAAAGATACGCTAATACAAGCAGTCTAACTCCCTACATGACAACATATCGACCATATCTATAGATAGTCGTAAAAATAATGTAATGAAAATACTATTATATATGTTATGTTCTAACTAGCGTGAAGCGTGATTGAAGCGTCCAACCTAGGGTCTAGGCATGTAAAAAAGTAAACTCTTTTGTTGACCGCCTAATGCAAGTCTAGACGAACTCCGGTGCATAACTTTTTTTTTTTCTCTATTTTAGACACATTTTCTAGACAATTATACCTAATAATCAATGTGGGTATGGACATTAAAATTTAAAAAGTGTGTCAAGGCTATGTTCTTGGACACATTTTTCTCTTGAACTCATTGATCAAATTAATACTAAATATATTATTTAATGTCTTGGCCAATTTGATAATAGTTTAATATATTATATTTGTTCAGTTTGTTGCGGCAAAACTTTTTATCTTTTTCCGTTTTTAATTTTTTTCTTTATTAGTTTGAAATTTGAACCTTAAGAATTGAGAGTTAAGACTCTCCTAACTATTCAATTGAGAAAAAAAAAAAACTTTTTCATTTTAGATGTTTGGTATTTATTATTTATTCATTTATATAATAGTTAAAATAATAACAAAATATTAAAAATTAGAAACTATATAGACTCGTAAAGCTTGAAATTTGGCATTATTATCTAACCACACTTTATGCTGTTTAGAACATTATTATGCAATAATTTAAAGAAATTAACGTCTTAAATTCATTTAAGATAAGTAGAAATCTGAAAAAAAGATCTTTTCGTTAAAATATTTTCTAAAGCAGTTTCTTAAAAAACATGCAGCTCGTGTGAGTTCGAGTTTTAACATGAGGAAGTCGACTAGTTTGAGTGCACACACTTTGGTGTTCATTCGACGTAAGCTAACTTAAATACTTTTTGTGCAAGCACGGGATAATTAGGGGATGAACAATTAAGAATTTAGGGGGCCTTAGGTAAAATATTTTAGGGGGTCTTTAAGAAATAAGAATAAAAAATAAATAAAATTAAATGGATCAAATGATCACTAAAAAAATTCTATCAATAATCGATTATTATATTGTAGGTGATTGTGACAGAATTGAACATTTCTTGGTTATTTAGGACACAATTACCAACACTTATGGCATAAATAATTATCAACACATCTCATTAGTAATTATTGACGGCAATATCGTCTACGAGTTGTCAACAATCATGACGGTTCTTGAGTCATCGATCACCAACAAAGACGTTGCTAGTGTCATAGTCAGAAATTTATTTTTATTTTTAAATAAACTACGGACGAAATATTACTTCAGTTTGCTTAGCTATCTTATTATTTTTGTTTTTAATTATAATATTAATGTTGAATAAGTTATTTTTCTAATTTTTTGCATCATTACTGAAACAACTTTATGTCATTATATTTAGTAAAAATATCTTTATTACTTTATTTATAGACATTTTTTCATCGATAAAGTTTATATTTTATTTCGATTGCTTTATTTTGCAAAAATTTGTGTTGATAAAATAAATTTATGGAAATAAGTGCTTTTAATTATTATGAACGAAAATTTTTGGCTCGAATATTTCTAAAGTAAAACTATTTGAAAACATATTTATAAGTTTGGAGGTTTTACCTAATTGTGAGGCATTAGGCGACATTTCATTTCTATCTAATTCTTTGGAAATGATCAATTAAAACCCAAGCCAGATACAAGGAAGCGCCTGACTTTGAACATAAATAATATCTATCACTCTTAACCTTCCAACCGATCGATAGTCATGAACCTTTTAATAATATTATAAAGTTCTCATCGACCTCTTTGGCATCTATATTACCCCCATAGATAGGCCCGAGGTTCTGGCAATCAAGGATTGAGTCGCTGGTTCACTCCTCCAATCAGGTAGTCAAGCCTGAAAGCCAATCCCTAGATTGAGTCGACTCTAATTATATCTTTAGTCATGTGACTTCTGTTTTAACTGCAATTACTTTTCTTCAAACTAGTGAGGGATCGTACGTTGCATCTCTGCTATAACTTAATAATTTAATTTTGTAAAATTTATTATGTTTTTTGGAGCAAAGAAATTGGTAAGAAGAATTTGTCATATTAGTAGTTAGAAAAACTATAATAAATGCAATATTTTCAGGATTAGATTGTATATATTTATTTATGTTATTTGCATTATTTTAATAAAATGAGCATGCTTATGGTACAAATATAGGTTAAAAATATGAAAAATGAAAATGAACATATAGTTAAAAATTTCTTCACAACTAGATATGCATAGCTAACAATTTTAAAGAATCAAAGAAAGTACCATATTGACAAACTTTTTAACAGATGGTGAAAATTTGCTACGAAGAAATAGAAGCATTTGTCATCAATACATAGCCACAATTAGATGCTCAACAAACTAACTTCTAGTTTCTTTAACCCACTTCAAAACCTCCAAGTTGAATGTTTAAGAATTATCAGCAGCATCACAATTAACCTGCAAGTGCACCACTGTTTATGTGAGACCACTTGAAAGTAAATACCATAGCAATAGTTAGTCATGCATTAAAAATCAAATATCAACATTTCACTCAAAAACAGATTGCTAGATAATAAATCAAAAGTATTTGGTTGTACTTTAGATTTCAACGTTTCCCTAAACTAAGAAGTGTGAAATTAATATCCAACATTTTGAATACCATTATTTATTTAGAAAAGGTAAACTATTAATAACAGCATTCTGATACTTCTTGAGCTGAATATCAAAATGTGATCTTGTTATTACATTTATGAACTTCACAAAAAGAAACAAAAAAAAAAAAAAAAAAAAAAAAAAAAAAAATTAAAAATGATACGGATGCTAGAGATTCTATAATACAGAATAAATAAAGGTTCAACTGGTTTTTATTTATCTATATTTGGAATAAATTGCGCTCATAGCTCATATTGTTGCTTGAAAGCGCCTCCATAAATATTGATTCAACTTATATTCGAGGATAAGACTTTAGCATGATATTATAAGAGTTTAGTAATTAAAATTTCTGAACACAAATATATATTCTATGCCAGATAGAAGGAACACTGTACTAAGAAATATTACATATTGGGTGTGATATTACTTGCCTAGTAGCCCCCAAGCCCAATATTATGTGGGAATGTGGTGCAATTATAGACATTGTTGTGTCTATGAACAACATTAGACCTACAAATCATAGGAATCCCTAGACGTGTAGATAGAGACCTCCTCTAGAAGACGTTCACCATGTTAACCCAGTCTACAACGATAGTATGTGGAAGTGGTGTACTTCCACCACCGCTTAATATGTTCCTTGCATAAAATATTCTTTTATAAGAAGCATAAAATCTTAATTATCCTTTTACTTTTAATAGACGCTACCAAAGGATAACATCTTGAAGTCTTATACTCACGCTATGGCAAATAGATTTTTTTAAAACTATAATCAACAAGATGCACACATTTGATGAATCATATCAAAACATGTTTGATATTATGCAAGTAATATCACGTGAACGTGCCTCATCCGTTCAAATTAGAGACAAATTGGAATCTGCACAAACTTGGTCAACATAGTTTCATTCTCGACTTAATGAGTAAAAATATGAAATTGTGAAACTTATGTCCATTTCTTACATTCTAATAAATTACTAAATACAAAATGTACTTGTAAACAATATATAGATTCTTTTCAAGTTTACAGAATACATTTACAAAGTCACAAGGTGGCAATAGAACGACAAATTTGGGGGAGGGTGTAAAAATGTATATGATACGTATTGTTTAGAAAAAGAGTTAATATATAAATAAACAATATAAATAAAACAAATGGAAATTAGATTGAAAAGCTCTATGTGTCAGTTCTTAATGAAGTTTCTCTAACGACAACTTCAACAAAGATGAGGCCAAGTGCAAAATAATCCAACCTTGTGAGTTTGAACTACTACAAGAAATTGCATTTATGCCTTGTTAACATATTTGGTTTGTCAAACTCCAAGACAGGTTAAAAAAAGAAAAATCTTCTCTTATAATCTTACCATTTTAGGACTTCCCATCCCCACCTTTTAGGGTTAACAGCAGCAATATTTCCAACGCAAAAATGAAATATACCCTAGATTTTTCCCTTCGTAAGAAAGCTAACATTTCAAGTGGATAAATAACTATAGAACACAGAAACAATATTTTGTTACTCGTATAATCATACATTTCTTTGCTAGGAATTGAGCTGTAGTTATTTGAAATTATTTATTCATCGAAACAATATCGTAGTTCAAACATACAAGATAATGTGCTGCAAAAAGATTTCATTTGGCTAAGACATTTCATGTACCTATGAGAAAAGCAATTTTAAGAAACTATCCAACTGTCTGAGTATATACAACTCTCAATTCGAATCTACAAAGAAAAGTCACATTTTTAACCCCAAACACATCAGTGCATAAGCTAACACAACATCCACACAGATTTATGGAAAAACACAAATGCAGAAGTCTCATTTACGTTAGAGACAATAGTCCAATCAAACGTAGATTGATTCATAATGAAAACCAAATGAGCTTAATGAGTAGCTAACAATACAACATATTGGATAAAAAAAAAAATTGTATGAACGATCAAAAGATTAAGCCATAACACACCAGAAGCTGCTAGTCTTTGAATTAAATGCATGATAATTTTGAAAAGATATTTCAAGATATAACCATTGTAAGAATGCCTAGTTTTTTACGTTTTCATTGATCAGTATAAATAAAACTAAAAGAGTGCAAATAATTCATCAACAAAATGGGACAAATAAGTAAAGTGGGGAGGGGGGGGGGGGNGCAAAAAAAAAAAAAAAAAAAAAAAGGTCTACCTAAAAGAAAATATTTTTACTTTCTGTTTTCAATTAGGTTTTCTGCTAGTTTCCTCTAACAAAATTCTATTACCATATTTTCTAATAGTCCACAAAACTGCCTCACCTACTTGTTTGTAACTCTATATGAATTCATGGAATCTAACTCAACATCTACCTATATGGTGCTGTGTAATTCAAGAATATTGGGGCTTATTATATCTAAAGCTTCACAAAGTCCGGTCCTTGTTACCAAATTGCAACTATCATTGCCTCAAAAAGCTGCTTTAGTAAAATGCAACAAGTATATTTTTGACAAAGAACCAACCATGAATATACATTTTGAGTAAACTCAATGTCATGACTTCGCACAAATATAATTGTTTAGATGCTAATCCAAAATATCACTTAATAGCTTATTAAAAGAAGTTCATATAAAACTATTTAATCCCTCGTGGATATGTAATCATATGCACACTTTTGAACGACTTTGTTGTTCTCATTTAATTTTAACTTCATTCACTACACAGAAAGCAATTGAATTTCACTTTCATACATTACGTGACATGTCTATACTCCTGTGACCTTGAGGAAAGTAGAAGAGCTTATCTCCAACATGCAACATGTTAGGTATGGGACAGGTACAATCGAGCAATAGTGACATACAAATTGCTTCTTCCTCAATTAAATATATAAATCCTGATATTATTATAATGTATAATAAAGGACTTGAAATTAGAATTATTTGCCAATGAAGGGCTAATATTTTGTACATTATAATGTTATACCTGAGGTTCGGGATTACCTTCCTAAGGCTTGGGATAAACTCCCTGAGGCTAGTCAATGGGCCACTTAATATTCTTTTGCAAAAGGATGAACTTTTGCTCAATACCATACCTTAAATGTGAAAAATATAAATTCAATACATCATAAAGTCCAAAAATAAATTTGAAAGAAATCATATTACAATTAAATTCTTAAAGATTATTACCATGGTTTCCAGCAGCAATATCGGGATGGCTACAAATTTTGACTGAATTGTACTGCTTGTTTGTTGGAGTAGGTTCACCAGATAGAGTATAAGCATCATACATGACCTAATCAAGAGAAATAATCAAGGTATGATCTAAAAACATATAAGCAAACTTCAAACCGACATAATTAAATGCGTAACTGATGATAGTAAGAAGCAACTTAGCGATGTATTATTTCTCCTTCATAATGGATCTTTGAAAATTGCTTGGAGACTGTATCATTCAGTAGTAGAATGAGTAAAAAGTTCGTAGAAGTGAGAAGTATACCTTGGATGAGTTGGATGCCATCTTAAATTCCAATCCATTCATCACAAGGATGTTTTCCATAGCCACGTTCATAGAAGATTCATCAAGATTGGCAAATTTACACATGTTTCTGCACGTGCATCACAAGCAACACTAGACAACAAAATCGATCAATTAAAATGTCATTAAACTAATGAAAATATTTATAGTTTCTTGAGCTCATGAAAAAAAATACAAGAATTATACGGTGCATACCATCCAAATAAAATAGTTATGTCACATGAGATATTCCTGCTACTGACTCATCCTTTTAGACAGACACTGTTAATAGTGGCTAAACCTTTTCCTATCTTTCTTTCTAATAAGTAGATTGTCACAATTTTCTATATTGTGTAACTTGAAAAATAATAATGATACCTCTTTGCAAATGACTCATTTCTGTCACAAACAACTGATAGATAATCATTGTGTAGATAGTTTACAAAATTAGGGTTCATGGAATCTACCATAACTTCAGACTTCTCATTTCCATCATTCATAAACAAATGTTTCAATGAAGATGTCCCATTAATGCCATAAAAACACATTTTTCTAATGTCTCTATTTCATTGAAGAAGAGAAACTTTCAGTTTGTGAAAATGCTGACATAACCTAAAACAAATAGACCAAGGGGCATACAAACATAAGAATAGACACTTGGTATAATTAGCATGTGTCTAACCAAATTATATATTAAAGAAGGGGAAATGAAGGATACCTAGATCTGATTTGGAGTTAGGCTAGGGAGTTTCTCTGTCAAGCGATTGAACATTGGCGATTTTGGACTAAAAATAGCCCAATCGTGGGAAGAAGCCATGAAAAATCAACAACCGGAGATGTAAAATTAAATTAAACCTCAATCATTAGCCAATTGAAATCATATTTAAATTAATTATTGATAAAAAACTATATAAAAAAAAATTCAAACTTACTCATTGAGAAAGATGATCTGGGATGGGAGTTGAAGAGACGTAGGCTTTGGACTCGGGTAGAAAATCGGAGTCGACCTTTCCGTAATCGATGAAACCATAACAAGACATTGAAAAGAAAGACAAAATTGAACAAAAAATAGAAAAGAAAGAAGAAGAAAGGAGAGGACCTGTAAAATATGTTATGTAAAGAATAGAGTAAAAGGCATGGGAGGTTGTGTGAAGAAATGGAGAAAGAGTGTGAGAAGGAAAAGATGTCATGCTTGAGAAAAAAAGAAGAAGAAGAAGGTAAAATTGATGTAAAAATGACATAAGCATGATGCCTTATGAATAGTGTTACAACTTTCCTCTTTTATATATTGTAGTGATATCATGAAGATGGAAATCTTGAAGCATGAGGAATAGATGATAAAGCATTAAAATTTTTTGATTATCCTCACCCTGAATTTGATGCACTTCCCAAGTATGAAGTTTTGCAAACCCTTGATAACATGACAATTTCAAGTGTTGGAATGTGAAAGCGAAATTATTCAAAAATTAAAAATTTCTTTAATTCAATAAACAAGACTGTCTAAATGTTCACGTGTATGTTATATCAATAATAAAGAATTCGAAGTTTTACCTAAATTTGATGATCAATTCTTGCATTAATTTTGAATCACGAACTTCCAGATTATAATTCCAAGAACTCGATACTTCAAACCTCCAAGTCTTTTATAGTATTCTCCAAAGTCAAGATTACACCTTTGAGTGGGCAAATTCTTTTAATTAAATTAATATACTAATTTTTGAACTGGACAATTGAATATGATGAGAAAATAATTATTACTTTTATCTAAATTTTAACACCATGGAATTATATATTATGATAATTGTAGGATTTCCTATTCAATCCCCATCCGATGTCTAGATTCCATCTAATCTCTATTTATAAAGATAGAATAGTTCCAATCCTAATACAATAATAATTTCATATTCAAATAAAAGTTCTAATTAAAATTCAAGTAGGAGTTTTAGTTAAAATCTAAATCCAATTAGTTTACATTTAACTACATGTGTAGTCCTAGAATTTCAATTACAATTATAATTAAGTTTACAACCTTTATAATAATTATTACTAAGTACAAAATTATATTATAATTACAATTAAGCCTACAACTATTATAATTACTGTAATTAAGTTTCAATACTTTATAAAGCTATCATAGAGACCTGATCGGACATATATTGTTCAAATCCAATAATTAGATCCTATCTAATCGATTCTAGATCACTCAATCTAATTATTAATCTTTATTTTTTTCACTAAAGGCAAAAGACTAAACTCTTGGAATATATAAGATCATAAAATCCAATAAATCTGTAATACTTTCCTCTGACCCGCCATATATTTATTTTATCCACATCTGAGATTCGATAATTAGGTATCAGCATAAATGATCATTTTTTCTTCTAATTATTCTCACTGACTTAAGTATCATTTTCTTTAACGGTAATGTGAACTAATTACAGATATCTAAATTTAGCCGTCGCTAAACACTAAGCTCAAATTTTAACCGTTCAACAGAAAATACTTAAATGGTCACTCTACCTATTTTTCGGGGTGACGGTTCCCAACATGAATTTATGTTCTTGACTCTGTTCATTCTCAAGTTCTCAACTCATCAAAATATTTGACAAATCAAATTGATCTCACCCATTGATAGGTTAAATAATCATTAAAATCACGAAAAGATATACATAATCATGTAAAAGGATTTAGATGAAATACACAGCGGTTAAGTGGAATTTAATTTTTCGCACGGTCATGCTATAGAATTAAACTTGGCACGTGGTCCATTCAATACACTTCAAGTATACTAGCGTCATCTTTATCTATTTCTGTGACAAATCATAAACTTGAATAGTGAATCAATCAACACCACAATCTTTCAATACAAGGTGCCAACCCCTATATATTGGTTGTGTAAAGAGGAGGTTCCAAAAATATTAGATATTACAACAATAAAATGTGCAGTAATATAAGATCGAAAAAACAGAATTAGAGATCTCATTAAAAAATGCCCTAAGGCAGTAACAAATTGAAGAATCGCCCAAGAATATAAGTGCTTCTGTTTCCAAAACAACCCATTGCCAAAATCGATCTTTAACCAAGGCTTAGAAATTAGCGTGTTTTGCACTCAGTCCGGATTCACACAAGATCATAGAAGATTCGATCTTCTCACTTCAAAAAGGGTTCACACAAGAACACACAACACTTTTCAGTAAAAGAATCACTCAAGATTTTACAACCATATTTGAGAAAGTGATGAAAATCAAATGAGATCTTTGATTTTTAGAGAAATGAAGAAGAAGAACTCAAACAGCCAAGGTTTGAGAGAAGTCTCTGGAAACAGAAAAAATCACGCGTCTCAACCTTAGGGCTCCCTTTTATACGAGTCACCAAATGGTCAGTTATCCAATAGACATGAAGTTGACACATGGTATCATCATGGACGTCGATTAGAAGAAACACGATTTTAAGATGATATCACGTTTTTAACAAACTAGCCACCGCTTTAAAAAATAACAAGGAAAAAATCAGTTGGTCAACTCACACAATTGCATCATTGTGCCACTGCCTTTCAGGTTGTGAACAAATTGTTTATGATTAAAATATAAGTTGTATTACACTGTACTTTTCAACGCAAATACCCAACTTAAATTATCTCAAGTGATTATAAGCACTTCAATTCGCGTGCTCAATAATAAATAATGCAATAAATAAAATCACAATTTATTTATATAAATTATTATTTTATCATATCAAAATATACTGTATGGGCACACAACCCAACATAAAAAGTAAGGAAATGGACTAAAACTAGTACTATATTGTTGATGGTGCTATTTTACCAATAAGCTTAATATGTTAATTACAATCGACTAGAAAACTAAACAATCCCAGTTGAAAAATATTGATGGAAATTCAATTAGAGTAAAATCCAACATACACACACAATAACATTTTTCACTATTTATTGATAAATACAGATGAATTTCATGCCCAAATCCAAATTGCATTAGTTCTTACTATCAGAGCAACAAATGGTAGGTTTCTATTCAAAAAATATAATAATGAGAAGATTTTCACTATGCAAAGTCAAGTGGTTTCTTGGACATGAGAAAATCTCAGAAACGAAAAAGTTTGGGACATATATATATGATGGGAATCATCTTTGGACCCTACTAATATTGATCATATAATCATATACGTATATCTCATAATTACATTATCTTAAGAAAAAGATGAGGATATTATCAATGAGTGCATATAAATTAATTTTTAGAAGCTAAGTAATCATGCTGATTGCCATTGTGAAATTTTAGCTGGGTCACGCATAAAAAGCTTGAGAAGCTGATAATGGAGAAGACTAGATATTAGGAGCGCTGCTAAAGTGTTCCAAACGAGTGGATGCATTCCATCTTTATTTTCGGCTTCAATTTTTTTTAGATGTTCTGAATATGTTAGATTGAACAAAATTAAACACGAGTGATTAATTTATATGTCATGTCTAAAATCTACAAGATAAATTATTAATATTATTATATTTTGCGTAAGCTTCTATAAAAGGAGAAATATGGTCACTAGGAGAGCCACACGGGGTCGTGCGAGGCCCACCAACACTGATCCCAATATTTCTTTTTTTCTTCCAAAATTTAAGCTTTTATTCTTCATCCCCCTTTTCAGCGTATCGTGCAATTTTTCTTCCATATCATCATTTAATTTTTCATCCTTCTGAATACTAAGGACTTTGCAAAGTGATGTATTGAAATATTTTCATTACTACTGCAACTTAATTTTGGCCAAAGTATGAGTCTTCCCTCTTCTGCGTTTTCATTTTTTGCTGTATGTGACGTGTTTTTGTTTCCTCTAACAAATATATACGCATATGTGAACATTTAGTACCAAAAAAAAANTTCATTTTTTGCTGTATGTGACGTGTTTTTGTTTCCTCTAACAAATATATACGCATATGTGAACATTTAGTACCAAAAAAAAATGTCAATCATATTTTTTACTCGGTATTAATGATGTAAGAGGATCCGAGTCGAGTGATACTGATTTGTCAGATAGCACGATGATGATGGTGCTGAGATACCATGAGATGGCGGATCGGCGCAAAGATGGAAAGTGAATCATCATTATTTCCTTAATTAGGAGAATTTGACGTGTTTTTGGTAATTTGGCCATAACTTTGGCTACGGTTATCGGAATCGCTATTATGACCCTAATTCAGAAAGCTCTCTTCGGCGCGCATGTCGTGGTCACCCAGCTATGCTCGGTGGACGTCAATTTCGAGCCCAAAATTCACTGTTTTCCTTTTCAAAATTCAATTTTAAGTTATTTTTTACTATTTATGATAATATTTCGTTTTCTTTTTTCCATATGTTAGAAAACTCGAATTGAGCCAAATTTTTGGCAACTTATTTCTTTTACTTAATATTTTATTTTGGTATAATTTTGAGATTTTGCCATTTTTGATAATTTTCCTATAATTTCGTATTTTGCAACTATTTAACCCGACTTGTGGGTTAGTTTTCATCATTCTGCATTATTAATAATATTGAGTTGAATTCAGAGTATTTTCTCTGATTTTTTGGGCGTTTTCTGTCGTTCTTTTCTTGTGAATCATCTGCTACAACAAGCCAATAGGATAATCACTATCCTACTCGGCGTCAATTAAACACTGCATATGATAATGTATAATTTTTACTTTAATTTTCTTATTTAATACGTCACTGTAGCTCCAGGGCTACAGGGACCATGGTACTATGAGTTAAAAAAGTTTATATCTCCATGGAAGGATCCTTCAATCAAGGCACCAATAAACCAATTTCATTAATTAATCAACTTATTTTACAAATGGTGGCCAGCAACACAAATTGGTGGGACTCTACCGCATGCAAAGACCCTTTTCCTCCCCCAACCCCACCCCCGATTCCCCACCACACTCCACTCCTTAATATTACTTCGTCACTTGGTCTTACACTAGGATTGTGTCTCTATAGCCTCACTAGACTAGGTCCCCAGATTCTCCACAAATGGAGTTCCCAATTGACAGGAACAAGGAAACAAAATTGTATCTACATATTGTAACATCTTTTTTGACATGAATCTTCTCAATTTTAATAGGTAATTATATTACACTTTATGTTTCCAACTTTTTTCATCACACGATTCTCATCCTTAATCTTTAATTATCACATCTTGTAATTAATAATATCAAAAACCATTTTACGTGATTTTTGTA